TTGCTTCGGGTTGCGACCAATTCAGGCTGCGACCAGAGTCACGGAACGAATTAAGTTCGTAACCCGAGGTACCACTGTAGTAAGTATGCATTCAAATAACAAAAAGATGTCAAATTTAACTTTGTACCTGTAGAGGCTGTGTCAGCTTCTCTTCACTTGAAGTGTACAATTTAAGCAAGAGTGCCTAAACTTTTGCATGTAACTTCCTTATTCTCTACATAACCAAGGATACTCTGCATCACAAACTATAGATCAAGGAAATTCATAGAAATTAAAAGGCTGCAAGCTGTAATGCAGGTGTTGACAATTTATCATTCTGCAAAAGTTCATATGAGCTTCAACCAGCATGGTGAGTGGCAAGATATTGTGGGTGTTTAGTTTAGTTTAGTTCAATCTGATAGGCACCAGATTGCCCAGCCCTGCTGTAGAAGAAAGATACTTGTGATCATATCATTGGGGATCTGATCCCCAATGTCCTATGTAGTGCAGTGTCGACTACAGTTGGGACCAGCAACTCTGTCACTAAGTGATATGGTCATTGAGCGAAACATCATGTGACTGTAGAACGCAGGACACAAATGCAAAATAATCAAGGCTTCACTGCAGTGTTTATTAGACAGGACACACTGGAGGGGAACCCACCAAAGATTAGTGGGAGACACTCCCCCTGTAGGCAAAATGGATGCCCTAATATTTATACAGTTCTACAAGAAAGGGAAGGGAAAAAGAACGCATACGCATATTCATATGATGTTGCAGGCATACCACCTAAATGAGCAATACTTCTCAAGTTACTTTCTGTTATTTGCTATCTACATGGAGAACTGCTATCTACTACGAAGAAGAAAAGAAGATAATTATTAGTTCAAGGTGCCAAATACCAGGAAGAAGGCATCTTCCCTTAAGTTGCTGTGGGAATGTTTGTGATAAGGAGTTTACAATCAGTTTAGTTCACACCACCTTCAAAGGTACCAGCTTCAAAGGTGTTGCACATTCCTTTATGTTTCAATTTTATTAAGGTAATCCCATTCATCTGGGATCTAAAAACTTGCTTCTTTCACCCAAAAATTTGCTTCTTTCACCCAAAGGTATATTTTCCTCATGTGACCACACCAGACTTATGACATAAGTTCCACTGCGATTGTTAAGCAAGTCACCCACAGTCATTAGCGAGACATCATGTGATGGTGACTCGCAATTTTACTCCTGGCTTCTCCATTGCTTGTCAGAAGCCAGAAGTACGCAAATGGCAATCATACGATCACAGAATGCTACAACCATCATAAATGCCCACCAATTGCAAAGTGCCCAACTTTCGATCACGTGACCGTGAGGACACTGTGATGGCTGTAAGAGCGAGGATTGGTCATAAAGTTACTTTTTCAGCACCATCACAACTTCAAATGGTCACTCAACAGGGCAGTTGTTAAACAATGACTACCTGTATTATTAAAATCTCTACCACATTACTTACTGTTGATTGTAGAATGATAGAACTTACAGTCCAACACATCTGGAGGGTTGCTGTGATGTGTATAAATATAGCAGTGTTGTGCTAGTGAATTAACAGACAGATCCTTTAGAGGTGGTATTAATTTTTATGATAGCATCCTTATAATCATCTCTTCTAAAAATAGTTTAACCAGATGAAGAAAGTTTGTTAACTAACTTAAACATGACACTGTAAATATTTTTTAAAACTTCCCTTATTAGCTGATACATGCTACTTTCCAAAGAAAATCTAATTATCAATGATTGGGTCATAATTTTCACTGATAGTCAATTAGTATTTGTATGCTGTTTCTGAACTGACTGGCAATTTTTTTCCCCCAAGTGTTGTGAAATTGCTTTTTAAAACCCAGCTCTTGTCTTCTTATATGCTCTGTTTTATTTTGCATTCTCTTGGTCAACAGGAATTGCCCTGATGACCCTTTTTGCAAAAGTATAAGCAACTATCTTTTCTATGTTACTGACTGGAGGAGATGCCATATTTAAAGGATGAGATGCTTAACTGTTTTTTTTTTTTCCATTTGAACTTGCAGGGTTTGGCAGTTTGTCTCAGCCATCATATTCTCTGGGGTTGCCATCATGGTAAGTGTGGAAAACATTTTCATATGGAGGCTAAGGGACCAAATTACTGAAACGTCCCACAGGCATGTTTAGTATTCTGTTCTCATATTCAATCCTCAACCATTGCTCATCAGTGTTTCCTCATGGGGCTGGAGAGAGATACCAAGTGGATTGCCAAAAGACTCAGTCTTGGGGCCTTGACTCCTTAATTTTTATTAATGATTTGAATTAATCAAAATATTAATTTCAAGGTGTATCAGATTTGCAGGTGACACAAACTTGAGTAGGATAGCTAATACCCTAGAAGAAAAAAGCAAAAAGAAATTCAAAACAATATTGATATGATAGAAAAGTGGACTGCTAGTAACAGAATGAAACTTAGCAGAGATAAGTGCAAAATTCTTCAGTCAGGAATCAAACATCAAATGCATGGGTAGAGAATGTGGGATACCAAGCTTGGTAATAAGATTTTGTGAAAACAATCTTGTAATAGCAGTTGATCCCAAATTGAATATGACCCAGTGGTGAGGTGCGATTGCAAAGAAGGCTGGCTGGCTGGCTGGCTGGCTTGTTTTGTTTGTTTGTTTATTTTTCAAATTTAGATACTGCCCATCTCGCAAAAAAGTGACTCTGGGCAGTTCACAATAAAACAGCAATAAAACAATATAAAATACAGTAAAAATAGAATAAAATCAAACACATACACAAGTAATATCTTTCAATATATTGATGGTCAGTAAGATGTTAACATATGGGAGCATCTTCAAGGTGCTAGCCACCCCCAGGGTTGGTTGCCCCTTTTTTCACCCCATGCCATTTGGCAGAGCCAGGTCTTGACTGCTTTCCGGAAGGCAAGAGAGTTGGGTCCTGCCTCACCTCTGGGGGGAGAGTATTCCATAGGGCGTATACAATTTAAGGCTGCATCAACAAAAGAATAACTTCCAAATCAGAGGAAGTAATCATTCCACTCTATTCTGCTTTAGTCAGACCATACCTTGAGCATTGTTTCCAGTTCTGGGCATCCCTTTTAAGAGGATTGAGAGAATTGGAACACAGTCATAGAATGGCAGTGGAAATGATAAAGGAATTAGAGATTTGTTCTATAAAGAGAGAGGGCTGGTATGTTTAGTCTTGATAAAAGAAGACTTATGGGGTAGCAGTAGTTCAAGAGCACTTATCAAATACATGAAAGGATGTCATACGCTATAGAAGAAAGTCAAGACCTGGTCTCTCTTGTTCCAGAAAGCAGGCTATGGAATAAATAATTTAGCTTACGAGAAAACAGGTTCTGATAGTATGTACAGCAGTTTGACTGTGGAACCAATAAAACTTTCTGTCACTGGAGTTGTTCAAGTGGAGGCAAGAAAGTTATCTGTCTGGGGTGTTTTAATTGAGATTTCTACACTGAGCTGGTATTTGTCATTGGAAAGATTATTAAAAATATATAAAGGGGTTTCAAATATATGTTGGAAATATGAACAAGAAGGGACTTTTTACCATCTTTGATGGACATGTAATAAAGCTAAAAAAATTTGGACTCAAATTCATGTATTAATCCAGAAGATTTTGAAAGTTAATTTACAGTCAAAACCAGAGACTTTCCTTTTGGGACTGATAGTTAAACAATTGGAGCTCATGGACCTTTTTTTTTTTTTTTTACATATGATAACTTCAGCTAGACTCAAAGGTGGAAAGACTCGACATTACTACAATGGAAGAATGGATGGTGAAGTTGATGGAGTTAGCTGAGATGGCAAAATTGACAGCTTTGCTTAGAGAAAAAATATTGATTAACGTTAAACAATTGGAGCTCATGGACCTTTTTTTTTTTTTTTAAATATGATAATTTCAGCTAGACTCAAAGGGGGAAAGACTCGACATTACTACAATGGAAGAATGGATGGTGAAGTTGATGGAGTTAGCTGAGATGGCAAAATTGACAGCTTTGCTTAGAGAAAAAATATTGATTAACTTTAATGCCAATTGGAAGCCCCTTTTGGACGTTTTTCAGGAGACAGAAAAAAAATGAAATTATGATATATGGATTTGATGATTAGTTAAATTAATAGATTTAATTTAACTAATTAAAGTTAAATTAACTTACAGAAGTTATTCTTTCTGTATTTTTTTCTCTTCTTTTTCTTTATTTTCCACCACTTTTATATTCTTTCTCTAACTTTCTTGCTCTCTACTTTTCTCCTCAAATATTAGATCTTGTTTGCTTTTATCTTTATGCTTTTTATAACTTAATAAAGTTCTTATTTTAAAAAAAAGATTTCTATACTGAACAGGGGATTGGATTGCCTAAATGGACTCTTCCGGCTTTATGATTCTCTGAACAAACATTGGCTTTTCTCTTTCTTTTCCCATTGCTATCTGCAACAGCTGTTCACTTGCACGGATGAAACAATAGTCCAAGCCAATTTCTCTTTGTGAGCATTGACATCTGTCTAAAATGGACTTACTTATGTCTGTTTTCAGTTGAAAACCCTTTTCTTTGGATATTAAATAGTGCAATTACTGGGGGGGGTTTTCGCTACTAAATTTTGTTTCCCTCTTCCAGGCTCTCACCTTTCCAGATCAGATTTATGATGCTGTCTTCAAGGAAGAGGTAGTCAACAGTAAAATGCCTATCCGTCTCTATGGAGGAGCTTTACTTAGTAAGTAATTCATGAGCATCCAGATGTTGATGTTGTCTAGTCTACTGGGAATAGCTTGGTGAATGCTACAAGAATGGGGCTTTATTTTCTGGGATGGAAGAGGAAGGAAGTATGCATGTCTCTGCATAAAAATTGTCTGAATTGGAAGTAGCCCCCAGATAATTTTGGATTATAACTTTTGTAATCCCTTGGACAAGACCTAAATTGATGGAATGCTTGCTGTTGATCTTCATAAAGTTTCTTCCATGGAATATTGCCCAGAGGAAGGAACATAAACTGTGCAGTCAAGCTGGTCTCTAAAGTCCTTTAGCAGGGTCAGGAAAGATGGTAGTGGTGAATAGGAATCAGGACCTGTAATGTTGTTAGCTGTCTTGAGTCCCTAGGAGCAGAATAAATCATCATCACCATCATTTGAAGTAATGATATTGAAATTGCATGGTTATAATTTGCTCACCAAGTTACAAAATTTGTTAGTTCAGATGGAAATGTTCTGTTCTGAGATTCTAAGATATCAAATGAACTTCATTATTCAAGATGCTCCAAGAGCTTTTAAATTATTTTATTTTAATTTACTTTTAAAATCTGGGACCTTACCTACCAAGTGAAGTCAGCCATATTTTTTTCTTCCCACACCAGCCTTGGAAACAATATTACTTGACCCTGTAATGCATTTCTCAGATACACAGAAAAGAATTCTGTTTGAATTATGAAAAAACACTTTTGTTTCCAAGGCAGGATTTATTATATACTTAAGAATTACTAGCATGCCACATTCGATGTATGAATCAATTAATTTCAGATTTTAGTGGCATTGCTTCTCTGTTGATGGATTCAAGTTGCTAGCTGTGGTGGTCATTGATGTTGGAGATGACTCCAGCATTACAATTTTGTGTGTGTGTGTGTGCGTACGTGCACACTGTGACAAAGCCATGGAACAAGACTGCATTCACTAGAAATGTCATAAGCTTGAGCTGTTAAAATGCAAAATTGGGATTTGCTAGGCATATTTGATGTTAGAATAATTAAATGTCAGGTTACAGTAGCACAGAGATTAGTCATTATGATTTTACCACCTCATAATCAGTTCCAAAGTTATTCTGATGCTTTATTTACACGAGAGCTATGAGTGATGATGAAACTGTTCCTGGACTGTATAATTTTGGAATGTAGGCGTGCGTTTGTGGTAGTATTAAATGGTCATTTCAGAACCATAACTTTATATCTATAATAAGGTGTAAAAGAGATTCATTTCAAAATTCTGTGGGACAAGACTCCGTTCTTGGCATGGTCGGCAGCACTGATTAAAGTCCAGTCATTTCCTTCCTTCTCTGTTAAAAAAATCCATCGAGGCATGCACATACAGGCCTGTGCGTGTGCGCGTGTGCACACACAGACACACACTTTTAATATGCTTCTTTAAAAGATATCCTTTCCACCCACCTCGGCATCACTCACATGCTTGACTTCTCCCACCCATCCATTCTGCTCAAAACTGTGCCATCAGTTAGTATTAAAACTATATGTGAATTAAAACAGATTATTTAAATGGAATTTAAAACTTGTGGGGGACCCCTCCCCCCTATTATCAAGATAATTAATCTCTGCATAGAGATTAAAAAGATCCGGTTCAGGAAGTCTCAAGTCGGGGTCCAGCCAATGACGTCTTTGGGACAGGCCCTATATCTCAGTGCAACCTTTCTTACAGCCTTGTCATTCTGGCAATATAATTAGAGGAGGTCTACTGTGTGCAGAACTGTGAGCTCCTCCAGGGAAAATGGAACATAAATTAAACAAGTAAAGAGACCCAAACTCTACCCTACAGACGTGCAATAAAGTAGAATAAAATTAAACTGGCCTTGTTAGGGAGACAGATAAGCTATAACTTGTATGGCCTCTTTTTTCATGCGAAAGCATTTCACCAAGCAAAACCACCACTTGATGTTGTTCTGCTTTAGGGCTAAGAGTAATCTTTAGCATTCACAACCCAGTGCTATTTATTAGTTTCAAACTATGTTCTGAGCTCCACATTCTCATTGCCCTTCTGGGAGAAATTGTAGATAATGCTGGCACAGCTATCAGAAGTCATACTGTATGTTTGCATGGTTGCAGGAACTCAAAACAGGGTTGAGTCTGGTTGTCACAGACAAGATTTTGTGCCCAGGGAGAACTTTTATTGCCTTATTCTTTTTCTGAGTCTGCAGCAGCATCTGGTGGCAGCAAATAAAAATACAGAGAAATGGGCCTGAAGTTTGAATTTGGCTACGCGGGCACCCTCATTTGTAGCAAACCTTGTGCGTTCTCTTTCAAAAGGGACAGGGTTAGATTATGGAACAACATGCCGCATTGCTCCCAAATAGTTTAGTAGAAAACACTTGCTTTGTTTTAGCCTTTTATTTTTGAAATATGTGAACAAGCTATAGTTGCTGGAAGTAAATTAGTAATATATGAACTGTCAGCTCTACAGCTCCTGCAGGGATTTTCTTGCTTACGTCCTCTCTCTACTGATGGTTGAAATATGGGACTCCAAAAAGGCAAGGCATAAAGGTCTCTGTTGTGTTTGACACACAATCCTAGTGAGGAATGTGATTGATTATGTTGATTGATTATGTGCCATCAAGTCAGTGTTGACTCATAGAGACCATATAAATTAATTTTCTCCATGACAGTCTGTCCTTAACCTTGTCCTTCAGGAGGTCCAGCAATTGCTGCTGTAACTGAGTCCATCCACCTTGCTTCTGGTTGTCCTCTTCTTCTTTTTCCTGCCACCTTTCCCAGCATCAGAGCCTACTCCAGAGAGCTAGGTCTTCGTGTAATGTGTCCAAAGAGGAGTGTGATATTAGGGGATAAATATCTATTAGGAATGCAGGGCAGGGGGAAATACGTGAGCACATGGATTCTGGCAACTTTCAGTTTTACTGAAAGTACAACTTTTCAGTTTTACTGATCCTGAAATCCTTGCTTCATAGAAAAAGATTCTCAGGACAGGCTTTAAAAAAAAATAAAATCACAACACACAAATAACTCACAGTAAAATTTTCACACACATGTATAAGAAAAAGTATAGGAAATGGATAAAACAAATGCAAATTGAAAAGAACATAGAAATAGGAAATACAGATAAAGAGCAAAATATAGGCAGTGAAATATGGCAGATAGCCAACAGATTTAAAATAGTATATAACTAAAATATTCTGATACATCATAAAAGCTTAGAATATTATGTTACATGCCCATTTTCAAATCAAAACATGTCCCTGTTAAACTATAGACTAAAATTACTTGGTTAGCACAGTTCAGATCATTAAAAAGGAAACAAAAGAGAAACTGAAAGGATAAACAATATGTTAAGACAATACTGTAGATCAGTGTTTTTCAATCTTGACAACTTTAAGATGTGTGGTCTGCATCTCCCAGAATTCCCCAGCCAGTGAGAAACACTGCTGTAGATTATGTGTCAAGTTAAAATATAAACTTGAAAACTTGAATTTTGGATGTGGCACAATTTCATGTATAAAATTGCATAATGAATGGACAGAGTGCTCAAATCATGGTACCTTATGTGAATTTGCAGTAGTTCACCATTTTGGATTTGTCCTTTCTGAAAGCTTTCATTTATGAGCATCATGAATGGCAGCATTTGGCTGTGCATATAACTTTCCATAGCCTGTCCTGAATTAGCCGATCTGATCCTTCTCTTTTTTCCCTTCCAATCTGTGGTAGGCATCTCACTCATCATGTGGAATGCCCTCTACACAGCTGAGAAGGTCATAATCCGTTGGACCCTACTGACTGAAGCTTGTTACTTTGGAGTACAGTTCCTGGGTAAGTAGGCCTCTTTGGGGGAACAGGACTAATGGAAATATGTGTGTGTGTGTGTGTGTACGTGGGTAGGCCAGCCTTCTTCATCTTTTGTGCTAAGAAGAAAACTAGTGTCACTGTGGTCTGGATATTTCCAAACTATTTGGGGAAGAAGAGCATGGGATTTGAACCAACAGTAATATTGGAACTGCTATTTGCCAAGAAAGAGGTGCTGTAATGAAAATGATACAACCCATTTATATGATCCCAATTCACAGAGGATAAAGTTTCTAATGGCAGAAATCCTTGCATTTTCTGAGCTGTTTGGAAAGTGCTTCCTCTTCACATGTCAGTGGGAAAGCTGAACCTTTCAAATTGAGAATAAAGCTGTTTTTAAAAAATAACACTGAAATTTGGAAAGTTTCTATGCCTACTAGAAACCCAAGCATCTGTGACCTGCTTTGGTTTGGACTCTCAGATCTAAGCGGAAATTCATATGGTGAAGGTCAGCCTCATTTGTTGCTTTGGTTATTATAATTACTGCTAAGCTGTCATGAAATCTGTATCTGTGCATCCTGTTTTTGTGTCATTCATCTTGGCCTTAAACACTCTAGCTCCTTATCTATTGCCCAAACTGAAGCAATGTTTCTCTACCATAGTTAAACCTGATCTGAGCCATAGGGACCCTTTTTCAAGGAAATAAATATGTGCAAAGGCGCATGGGTAGGCCAGCCTTCTTCATCTTTTAGCTAAGCTGGGCTACAGCTTCCTTTTCATCATTGTCAAAGAGGCCTACTTACCCTTGGATGATTTCCATTAAAAGCCAAGAGAAACATGGCCATCCTGCCAAATAAGAATGCAATAAGTTAGTCTTTGATCTCAAGATGAGCTCTAGAAGGTAGCTAATATGTTAGATAGTTTGCTTGGTGTAGGTGTGGGTATGTCTTATTTTGACCTTCACCTGTCTCCTTTCTCTTTCAGTGACTGCAATCACCTTGGTTGAAAGTGGCCAAGTGTCCATGGGAGCCACATTTCTTCTCACCAGCCGGGCCCTCTTTGTACTTATCAGCATTTATTACTACTATCAAGTTGGACGCAGACCCAAGAAAGTCTAATTGCCCGAACTTTGTGGCCAGGGGGTGGGGTGGGGGGGACTTGATTGATTTGGAAGGACTGGAGATTCTTTTCTATTTTTTTTTCTTTTTTCTTTTCTTTTCCGCAATTCTTTTTGTTCACATTAGTGCATCGTCTTTAAAAGCAGGAGTCATTATGGCATGCATCAATGTATCAGTCCAGTGCTGGTCTCCCTGCTACAGCAGACAAAAAAAAAAGAAAAGAAAAGAAAGATCAAAGCCAAGCTCCTTCCTGCCCGATGTCTGTTTGGAAAGGACAGAGATAATGAGGCCTGCTAAGAGTATGGGGGAAGGTGATTCCCAATTGTTAGCCAACTTACTCTGTAAAACTAGACAGTGGCCCAAGGTTTCCCATTCTGTTATCCTCCAGGCCCACTAGACTGAACATCTGTCACAACAGCCAGTGCAGGCTGGGGATGATGAGAGTTGAAGTCCGACTGTTAGGAGGACCCTAGACTTGGAAAGGAAGTTGGAGCAGCCATTCAAGGTTTACATGCACAGACATAGCGATGAGGTATTGCATTAAAATTGCAGTGGATGTCTTAAGTATATTCCTCCTTTTCACTTGTCAGTTGTGATTGGAGCTCTTATCAGGTCTGCCTGCTAAGATCTTACAGCCAGGGCTGAAACAATGTTTTGCCTTCTTGGGGAATCCCAAGGCCACATTATATGGAATTCTTAGAAAGTTGTATATTGACACCTTTTAGTGTATCTCTTAGATGTTGGTATCACGACCATACATCTGAACCCTTGAGCATAAAGTATATTAATTTAAAAAGAGATTCTGGCTCTTTTGAAGGAAGCCTCAATCTGCTACTGCTGCTAAATGTGCCTTTTTATTTTCTGTCATCTTTTCTCCCCGCCTTCTCTGCTGCTGGCCAGTTAGTACTGTTCTAGTGATAAGCTGTTTGGCTTGTTTTTTAAAGTATTAGTTGTTACTGAAATACTCTCAGATGATTCTAGGAAGAGGAACAGTGGAAGAGGAAACCTGAAATCATGATTTCACAGGCTTTTTTAATGACAAAAATAAAAACACAGGGAAATGCATTATATTTACCAGTTTTTACAAATTATTGTCAAGTGTTAGTCCTCTTAAAGTGCAAATGAATACCTCTGCACAAGAACTTGGTTATAAATAAGTACCTAAAATGGCATAGTAAATATTGATCATGTCTAGGTTAGTTTGTATTGTATATGCTGGAATGATTTGTGAATGTAGAAACTTCTGGTTTTGGTGGTCTTTTCATCCTTCTTGAAATGGAAAGATCAGTTAAATTAGTGTGTATGTGCATGTATGTGTCTAGGAGCACAGAGGGGGAAATTACAACTGATTCTGGTCATTTCCCATGTTTGGCAGTTAGCTCCAAAACTGGATTGCACCCTATTACCATGAACTAAACCACTCAGTTTACTGAGTGAACTGTGACTCTGCAAGGATGCCCTCAGAGATGTTTGCATATGGATTGCCCTCTCTGCTATCTGCAAGAGGCTGTTAGCCTAGAACAAATTGATTTCTCCTGGGGTAGGGATGAGCCCAATCAAGGTTATGTGGGATACTTCCTATATTGACTCTCTAATGGTTGCCAATTGCAAATGGAAGTCCTAGCATTTCCTTTTAACCATTCTGTTATTTAACCAAAAGAGATGAATATAAGCTGACTTCTTCAGACTCAAATCCAAAGTTCTTAACAATATGAAAAAAGGACAAACATAGTTTAAGAGAAATCATGCTCCAGGTATATCCACGAGTCTACCCCAACTGTAATTCATTGTGTTCCATCAACCAAATAAAGCAAATTTGCTTTTTTCGTGCCCTCTTGCTCCCATCAAAACTTTGGGAAAATCTGCAGATAATTTTAAATAAAATCAGGAATTGTTTGCTATTTCCATACAAACCACAAACTTATCCATCACTTCAAGATGAGATCTAGCAGTTTAACTTTTAGTTTTTAATCAGTTCCGTAATGAGTTTCATGCTTTTTCCCCCTTTCCTTATGGTTTCCCCCTTTCCTTTATGGTGGTTTTTGTGTTTTGCCTTCTATTGAATTTACACCCAAGTAACTGTCATCTTGAAATGGATTGCAAGAATTTTATTAACATGTATCTGCTAAGATGGACCAAACATTTTGGACTGGGTACAGTGACTCTCAGAAAAGGGCATATGGCTTGTACTGTGGAAACACCTGATTGCATCCATAAAACTATGGATCATATTGAAGACTGAAGTAGCATCTTTTCATTTACAAAAACAACTAATGATGTTTGGAAAGTTTAAGGACTTATTCATGGATGGTTGATAATGTGTGCTGATTTTGCCTACTGCGATCTTTCCTTTCCTCCCCAACTATTCCCAACACTGCTACCTTGATCAACTTCTGGCATTAACTAACTACATGCATGAACTTGGACTACCATGTGTGCTGTAGCTGAAGACCATACAAAAACCATGAATCAAATAGAAATTCTTAAATTATTTGACTTTATGATAAAAGTGGTGATTCAAGTGGTGAATTTAGAATTAAGAGATAATGCCTGGTGAGATTAAACTCCTCTATAGGAATAAATTTGTTAATGCTCCTTTCAGTTGTTAAAGTTCTTAGTCTGTAGAAAAGGTGGTCTGTACACATAGTGAAATAAGCATGATTCCAAGCAGTTACCATCTGGCATCGAGCATTTTGTTCCAAGGCAGAAAATGGAATTAGAGAAAGGAACACTTTTCAACAATGCTTTCATCTGGTCTCCAAATCTTTGAGCTGGACTTTGATGGAAAGGATAGGAATTATATGCACTTATGAATCAATGATATTTCCATCATAAATATGATTCATTAGCTTATTAAAATTCATAACTGTTGCCCCTTGACCAAGGCTCACTTTAAGGCATTTCAAACTAGTAATACAGATAGTAAAGAACTGCCACCTACTGTAAGTGTCCATGTTCTATTATCATAGATTTTGTTAGGCTTTTCCCCTATATTTGTGAATCCAAGAGGGGTGTGTATAAATTGGGTACCGTGCAACAGAATGGTAGACGAATATCCTTTGATATATATGGTTTCTCAGTCCCATGGAAATGTTACCTTGTATCAGTGGTGCGAAAGGCACGTACTCAGCAGACTGGGACAGCTACGTTTGTGTCATGTTGGATAATAAAGTCCATTGGTCTGATGTATGGTAAGGGAAGGTTTTCACCCCAGGTCACAGTAACAGTGGCTTCAGCATTGACTGAGGTTTTGCTTAAAGTTCAAACACTTGCCTGCCCCTCTGAAATCATATATGGTCAGGATTCCATGAATATGCTATTAAAAGCTGTAAACTGTTCCATTGAACTAAAGAAATGTGGACCATCAACACTTTACATGCTACAGGAAAGCAGCAGTTGAATGTAGATTACTGAATAAAAGTACTCATAGGCTTCCCAGGTGTGTGAAAATCAAATTGAAAGGAAGCTAATTGAATGGAAGCTAATCAATAATCTCAGGAAGCACCCAGACTTTATTAGCCCTTCAATTATTTTTGCATCAGTAATCATTAGGTAAGCAGTAGACCAGCAAGCTCTTTTTTTTATTTACAAAGTTCCATATGCCTGCTAGCTCCAACAAAATCTGGAATTAGTAAAAGAAATCATTAACAATTGAAAAACCCTTACAGGCACCTTGTCATAAAGCATACTCCTCTTGTACCATCTGCAGCCTTTAGAAGAGAAGGACCATCTGGGGTGCTTGGTCATCTCTTTGCAAAAATTATTTTGTAAAGTGGTAAAAGCTTTCTAAGTGTTAAAAGTCATGTGAAGTTTGCATTCAGTTATAAGTTTATCATCTGTTACTAAACCAATTTGCCTTTGGTCTTTCTTTAATATGAGAAAGCCTAACTGACAATAGTATTTTTAACAATACTCCTTAACAGCCAGAAATGGTTGTGAAGGATGAGCAAGTTCTAGCAGGACTTTTGAGAAGTTTTGTAACTGGAGTAATTCCAAAAAAAAATAGAGCACATCCTAAAGTTTTTCACATATACAGCAGAACTGAAGCAAAACAGCAAGTAGTATGGGTATTGTTGCTGCAACAGTAAAACGCTGATAGGATTAGGTGCATATTCAGGATTTGAGGCTAAAGACATAAAGGATGGAAAGTTAGCTGCCAACCTTTCTTCCATCATTCCTTATCTCCACCTTTCATCTTGTGACTATGTTTCATGTGGTCTTGGTTGGTTGTTCATTACTACACTTGTAGGACAACCATTCCCAGAGGCTATAGGCAGTTAATGATGAACAATGGAAAAAGAACCCTATAACCAAATACCAGCAGAAACAAAATCCCTAAAATAAAACTACGCTCCACCTGCACATTATAAAACTCCCCCCTCCTGTACCAATTGGAAGAAAAAGGTTTTTACAAGTTTCCTAAAGCGCCAGAGGTATGAAGCACATTGAAGTGCAACCAGGAGGACATTCTAAAGAATGGGGGCAGCGATGGAAACCCACTCCCTCGGGCCCCATCAGATGACAAACAGTTAATGAAGGTTGTAACCTCACCCCTCTGCCTGTATACTTTTCCCCTATAAAATTTTGCTGTTACTGTTTGCTGTTACAATTTTAGCGCTGTTTCAAAAATACCTGAACATTGTTCAGATATTATCTCAGTCAGGAGAAAAACACAATGCAATACCATGTGGTCCAGCACCTTTGGACTTGCAGGACGTCAGGAAGAGGAAGAAAAGGCCCTTCCTCTTCTTGGAATCAGGAATGTATCGAGGTTGTGCAGCAACGAGACATGATGACTTGGAAGGATGTTACCGGCAGCTAGGTAGGTATCCCTCACACACAACACACTTAGCCTGGTTACTGGATTAACTCTTTTTTGGGGGGAGGGGAACATTGTTGTCTCATAATATATTGATTCGTTCATCCACCAAATAGGCCGGCTTCATAAAACATGCTAAGCCATAGAAAAAAGTAACATCAAACTTAGCATGTCATGTGCTTACATCTGCTGGGTCTTTATCTGATATCACAGTGTTTTTCAACCTTGACAACTTTAAGATGGGTGGATTTCAACTCCCAGAATTCCCCAGCCAGCATGCTGGGGAATTGAAGTCCACCCATCTTAAAGTTGCCAAGGTTGAGAAACACTGCAATAGTTAAATGTATTCTTTGAACCCAGCTGTTATTTGCCCAGCCTGATTAACAAAACCATCCCCATCTAAGTACAATTTACCAAATCACTATTCTTGAAGATCTTAATAAGAAAGAGGTGTTCCTTTCAATCGCAGCTTATTCATCTTAATTATATTGAACTTCTTTGGTAAATATGGGGAAGAGAAAAAAGGTGTTCTTTGTAGAAAATATTACCTTTGCTCATGTTCTCTATCTACTTAGTATCTCAGGCTATATCAGATGCCTTACACTGCAGCTGTTCATTGTGAATTGGTGATACTTAAACCAGAGGTTGCCAAGGTTGAGAATATGGCCTAAATTTCAACTATTAAAGTGATTTGATTTGGACACTTAATATTTCCAGGCTTAGCTCTATTCGGGGTAGGCTGTGATTCATGTCAGTTACAGCTGGGCTTCACAGCTTCATGCTCAGCTCAAAGTGTTCGAAGAGGAAGCCATAGTAATGAATGTATCTTATCACAAAGATGTTTTGTGCCTGGATTTGTGTCTATTCAAATCAACAGAGGATTTGAATGCCTTCCCAGTAGTAAATCAATCAGCCATATACTTGAATCTCAAAAAAATATATAAGCCACCACCTCAAGTCTCAGTTGGGTCTCCCAGGACTCCTCCAAAGGCTGGCGCTCTTGCAGTATTTTTAAGATAGAGAGGGAAAATTACTAATTACACAGAGGCGTAATTCCATCTCACCTATTCCATTTCAAATGCACCATTACATTTAATATTATGACCTTGTCATGGCCCTTCCAACATTTAGCATGTTATCCTTGACCTACCATTCCAAGGCCAAATGCAGTCATGGATCTGAAATACAACATTGTGTACTAGAATCTTAAACAAGACTAAAACATTTGATGTTGAGTTGTATGGAGGCCCAGAGCACCAATGGGGCTGCAGACACTTTTCTCTGTGCATTCCAATTTCATGTTTGTCTATTTAACAATATTTGCCTGCTATTCTAAGGGCTTCATTGAAATTTTAAAAAATGCTAAATTGCTTGTCTTTAACCTTCATTAGTTTCACTTTGTGAAATGTTTATTGGAAAATTGTCAGTTCAAAAGAGTGATTTGTGTTTTACAAATTAAACGTGATTTCTGTCTTGTATTTTGGCATGTAGACAAGTTACTTTTCTTTGACGTACCACTACTTTGTCTTCTGGGGAAGTGGGTGCTTCTTACTTGCCACGCTTACAATGGCAGCTATTTTGTGCATGGGAAAACTATGACAACCATTTGATGAGGTGGTCCAGGATATTATTCCAGGATACCAATGTGGCCACTAACCCCCAAAGTTGCAGTTGCAGCATGGCAGCAATTATTAGTGGTATGAGAGGGGCAGGAAAGGAATGAGGAAGCTATAGGGAAAGTAGATGACTGTAGGAAGACAAAGTACAAGAGTATGAAAAACAAAAACTGATCTACAAAAAAATGATTGGAAACAGAATGTAAGGAAAGAATGTGAAAACTGCTTGGAATTCTGAAAATAATCCTGTTACTCAGAAGTTAAACTAATGGAAGTATGAAAAGAATGAATGATGCCAAAAATAAGGATGAGAAAAAGACACAGCATAACATGTATACAGAAAAAAATATAGTTGTAAAGAGCGTAGCAAAGAGCAAGGAACAGTTGTGATTAAAGGCAAAGAAAATGTGGAGCCATTTTGATAAAAATAAAACATTGTTTTGGAAGTAGGTGAAGAGAGCTAACCAAGGAACCTTCAACAGAGTGAGTAGAATTAAAAACAAAAGTGATGGAATTGGGATTTGGAATGAAATAAGAGTGAGGGAATACTGGAAGGAGGATTTCAGAGATTTGCATGGGAATATCTCATGATATGGCAAAGAGTGCAATTGAAATAAATGCTATATTAATAAAGTTCTTCTTCTGGCCTTTGGCCAATTAACAACACACAGGAAACCCCACAAGTGGACTCTCATGCTTAAAAGAAATAAAATTAGCTTAAGACAGTGCAGATATCTCCACAATGTAATGCTATAAATATTAGTGTCCCAGAAAATATTGATGAAAAGAAAGACCCTAACCCTAAACGTGAGAATGTTAAAAAAAATGTAAGGTGGGAAGTATCTCCCTCTCTATGCACAACTGGAAAGCTACTAAAACATGGATGCCGTTTTCTCGTGGAGCAGCTGTGTGAGGCTGTGCCGTGGGCAGAGTCTGCATCTGTTCCTGGCAATTGCAAGAAGGCTGTTCTTTTTCTCCCATACAAAAGCAAAGCTAACAAAGGGGAATGCAAAAAACCAACCAACCAACTAACCAACCAACCCACCCAAGGGCATGAGTTTATTAAGGGTGCCAAGGAAAGTGTTTGGCAGAAGTCTGATTGAAAGAAGAGGTGGCATCGAATAAAATTTGGGAAGTGCAATGCAACTTCATACCAAGACCTGAGTTTTGCTACTCACTGAGAAAAGTATCAGTGTGAGAAAATGAGTTTATTGCATGCTTGCTGATTTAGAAAAAGCATGTGATACAGGGAAGAGACTTGAATTACAGAATGTTTTATGTGAGTACAGAGCTGAAGGTTGATTCCTGAAAGTAGTAGGAGCACTATATGATGCAAGCAAAGCATGTGTATGAATAAATAGGATGCCAGTGAATGGTTCAACATTAATCAGAGAGCAAGTTCTAGATCTGTGCTGTCCCTTGCTTTAAGGTATACATGTATAAGGAATGCATGTAGTTATATTAGATGTTTGTTAGTTTAGGAGGTAAATGTGCATATACTTTTGTACACAGATGGCCAAGAACCCAAATAGTTTGCAGAAAATTTTAGCTAGACTGCATGCTGCAATGAAACATAGGACTCTGAAAAGTAATATATCAAAAAGCATGGTATTCATGTTTGATGGTGTGAATTATTGCGAAGTCTACAGAAATGGTGAAAAACTAGAGCAAGTCGATGAATGTATCTTGGTAGAATGTTTACAAAAATGGAGAAATTAACAAATGCTAATAGAAAGGCAGTTGGTGGTAAATAGCCTGTTGTGAGGAATGTCTTCCAAAAGAAGCAAAAGTGGTGTATAGAATAGCATGCTTCTGCCTGCTTTGTTGAATAGCAGAAAGAATTTGGTATATCAAGAGAAACATAAAAGTTGAATGCAGTAGGAATGATGTACTTAAGTGTGTGTGATAAAAGCAAGAATGAATAGATGCTGAATGAACATGGACTGAATATAAAAGTGAGTCATCACCCATGCCTTAGTCACCTCCCATTTTGATTGCTGCAATGCACTCTACATGAGGCTGCCCTTGAAGACCATCTGGAAGCTGCAACTGGTCCAGAATGCAGTGGCATGCACAGTTTTAGGGTGTCCCATGGTTCACCCAAGTAACATCACTGCACTGGCTTCCAATTGCTTTCCAGATGTAATTTGTTGGTTGTCACCTTTAAAGCCCAACATAGCACAAGGCCAGGTTACTTGTGGGACCATCTCTCCCTGAGGGTATCTGCCCATCCTACTAGGTTAGATAGGGTGGGTGTCCTCCAGGTCCCCTCCCTTAAATGTTGCCATCTGATGGGACCTCAGAAGCCTGCCTTCTTGGTGACCACCCAAGTCCTTTGGAACAGCCTCCCACCGGAGATCAGAGGGACCTCTACCTTTTTAGCCTTCCAGAGGGCTGTGAAGTCCTGGTTTTTCCCTCAAGCATTGGGCTAGAAGGCGGGGGGGGGAGGCGGGGAGCTGTGAGGATGTTTGGTCCGGCACCTGGGGAGAAGGGTATGTTTTTAACTATGTTTTATGGATTGTTGTGAGCCTCCTAGAGTCATTGTATGAGATAGGCGGCCATATAAGTCCTGCCCAAAGGTAGGTAGGTAGGTAGGTAGGTAGGTAGGTAGGTAGGTAGGTAG